ATCAATCAACAAGCATTTAAAAAGCAAGTACCAAGAGCCACATTAACACGTCCATTTCGCAGTACCTCAACGGTGGAGTACAGGCTAATCGCTCACCCCTGTGGTCACGCTATACTTGACTTTTGATTAAAATCTACCTGCTTTGAGACAAAGTGCTAAGTAAAGTTAACGTGCTATAGTAAAATTTTAATAATGTAGCTGAGAAGTTGACTATTGTGTAACATTTGAAACAAAATGTAACCGTTGTAAAGAATTTCTCGATTTTCGTAACTTATGTATTTTGGGAAAGCGCCAAAGTTACTTGAATATTGCTTGGAATTCCTGTTAAAATCGTGTTTTAAATATTTAGTGGTATTTTTAATTTTTAAGATATAATCATTATTGTAATTTCTAAGTATAAAAATCGAAGAACTTTGAGCTAAGTTTTCTCCAAAACTATATAAATTGGCACACGGGAGTTTTCGTCCTGCGTTTAGAATATTAACACGTATTCCTTGCTAAGCTTCACTCAAAATGTCCGATCTGAAGGCATTTCGAAACACTGTGCGGCGGCAACGTGGCAGTTCGCATTCAACTAGTAATCCGAACACAAGCCCCGAATCGTTTGAGTTACGGCTTAACTTGTAATATTTCAAATAGTAAACTTAATCAAACCGCATACTTTTCTCAATCAACGTTCTACGTTATTGAAATAAAGACGACCGCCGACTCACATAACTTAATACAAAATTTTGTATGGAAAAATCTACGGCGGGAGAGGCGCGGCGCGCGTCCTTAGTACCCACTGAGTCTGTGCGTATTTCATAGTTCCACTGTAAAGTAAAATCAGTTTACTACTTTTTTAAGTTTGAGAGAAATCTAAATAAAGTTTTAGACCTCACCTCGATGATGATATCTCCACCCGACAGCATGTAGGCTCCCGTTAACAAGGTCACACACGCCATGTAGCTCAAGAATTGGAAGAGAGTGGCTGAATTTTGTTCCATTGTCTGTGTTAAAAAGAATAACTAATTTTAAACAGGACAAATTACTACGCCTTTTTGCTACAGACTATAGGCAATGTTAAAAATAACTTTTGTTCTCGATGTTCCTTATCGCGGTCTCTTCAACAATAACTGAAATGCATATGAAGTCCTTGTCAAAACTAATCATATGGACAGGTCGAGAGACAATTTCGAGGTAAGCGTGTGTTTTTTGTCAGTCAGTTTATACTCAATTTTACTACATATTTTTTTGTTTGTGTGTTTTGTTGTTTGTTTTTTTGTCGATCATGCATAAATATAATTAATTATCTAATTTTTGTCCTAATAACCTGTAGCATTTCGAGGATAAATCGAAAAAATTTGAATATTAGGTCATTTCGTGATTTTTATCTATCGAGGAAACTTTATTGTTTTATGTTTCTGATTAATGTCTATGCTTGAATATATCGGGTAGTTACTCATACAATATTTTATTTTTAACTTTAAAACGGATATACCCCTCTAAAATCAAATCGAAGATTAGGAATTTTTCCTCTGCTCCCTCTTAAGGAAATCGCGATAACGAATATAGCGAAAGCGGATAAAAGTTTTGAGGTTTTTTCGGCGTCAATCACAACAAACATTTGAGACAGTTCTTTTTGGCGTCAGTCACAACAAACTTTTGAGGTCGATTCTTTTTGGCATTAGTCACAACAAACTTTTGAGGTCGCTTTTTTCGGTGTCAGTCACAACAAACTTTTGAGGTCGGTTCTTTTTGGCGTCAGTCACAACAACCTTTTGAGGTTGGTTCTTTTCGGCGTCAGTCACAGCAAACTTTTAAGGTCGGTTCTTTTCGGGGTCAGTTACAACAAACTTTTGAGGTCGGTTCTTTTTAGCGTCAGTCACGACAAACTTTTGACGTCGGTTCTTTTTGGCGTCAGTCACAACAAACTTTTGAGGTTGGTTCTTTTCGGCTTCAGCCACAATAAACTTTTGAGGTTGGTTCTTTTCGGCGTCAGTTACAACCATCGAGTATATAACCAGACATAGATACGAAATGTCGTTTATTTTGTTAGAAAACTTTTCTGTCAAATGACAACTGGTGACAACTGCGCTCTGATTGGCCAGCCCGAAATAAAATAAATAAAATAAAATAAAATGTAGGAAATGAAACTATTTTTCCGGATTTAAATCGCGTATATTTGTTTTTTCAAACAAACCGACGTTTCGGGCCCTTTACAGGTCCCATGGTCACGGTTGAAAAAACAAATATACGCGATTTAAATCCGGAAAAATAGTTTCATTTCCTATGTGTAACAATCGCGAAAACCTAAGAACTCGATAAAATAAAATGTTTTATTTGTTCATTTTAAAGGGCATAGTACAGGGGCGGATGTTTCCATTTAGGCTTGTTAGGGCACAGGCCGTGTTAGGAAATATCGCTCTTCTATGCTATTAATAGTAATCTTGCTCTTATATAATTTTAAGATGATGAAACAGACTACCTTAATATCTACTGTAACTGGTGTTACAACTGATACAATAACTAATTACAGTAAATTTTAACTTTTCAGACTAAAAATTGATTATCCTAATTGTCAGTGTCTGTGAGTGCAAGTATGTGTATCTGAAGGTGTGTAATTGTATGGAATGTGTGAATGTGTATATGTGTGTCATCCATTCGATAGACGTACAATGTCCAAAATTATACATTGTCATACCAAGTTAAATAGTATCATTTCCATTGCTTGTCTCATATATAAGAAGTTACTAAAATAATAGTATTATAAGTTTATATAAACATAAATGTAAATTAAATTTCGATTTGTGTATATTTATATTATTTATTTACATTATATATATTATGTACATACTGATATAGTATAAATTTTATGTCTACTTACTTATTTATTTATATATTTCAAACTTGTAATAATAATTGCTCAATCTCCTCATATGACTTAGTTTCGAGTCATTTTGTAATTGCTAACTTGCATTCACGAACTATTTTCTTGTAGATCCAGTTCTCTGTTTAAATTATTATATAGATATGAGACCCCGTATTTGTACTGTCTACTAGCCGCAGTAGTTTTTATTTTTGGTACCGACTCTATGTTATAGTTTCTATTTAGGTAGTGTGTTAGAATTCGAAATATACATTAGAGTTGGGCAAGCAAATATTGTATTATCGAAATCGATAGCCAAGACAATATATATGTATATAACCATTACCTGTTTTTTTTACACGACTGATCAAACAAAGGAGCGTAATATTTTCATGGTGAATATATGTAAGAAAATATCGTTTATTGATTCCTGTATAACTTCTGAATGTTTCCACCAATTTCGAATCGTGTAGCATTATCACAATCCATAGTCATTCTGAGTGAGCATGGCATTGGGTATGAAAAAATGTCAAACATACAATTTTGTACTGACAGCAAACAAAAAAATATATGTAATAAAAATTAAAATAAAATATTTTTTTTCGATTTTATTTTGCAATGAAGTAGAAATAAAAATAACGAAAATGGATGGATTTAAGTCAGGTGAGGGATAAGGGAAAACTGCCATGTTTAGTTAATATGCACTAACTAGATACCTAAATATACAGGTACGTATTTCATAATTCTAGGCATCGCAACTACACTATTAGACTTTTAAGATTTAATTGAATAGCTTTTATGAAGATTGCATAATATATAAATGTAGTCTCAAACAAAAACAATTCTCCTGAGCAATGAAAATGAAGTAGAAAATGTTCTACCTTCAAGGATAGCAAATTTGGGGACGAATCTGGTTTATCGATCCCACTTTCAGCGAAAGCGGATAATCTAATTTTTGAGGTCGGTTCTTTTCAGTATCAGTCACAACAAGAACTAACCATACAAATGGTAGAGGCCACTTACCACCATTTTGACCATTGCTAGCGACAGCAATAGGAGACCTTCAGTGATTTGAATGCTGTACGTGGTCCCTAAAGCGTATTGGAGGTTACGTTGGCTCCTGGTAAAAATAGATTACAAACAAATTACATTAAAAAAAAACCACAATCATCGTCAGCTAATTATGACGATGGAGACAGTTTTAGGTCATGGTCACGCTAGACCTGTGCAGGCTGAGGACTTAATACGTTTTTCAACAGTTGTGTAGTTTCTTGGACATGCATGATGATTGATGATTTCAACATGATGTTTCATTTTTTGATTTCTAATCAAAACACGGGTATAAATCGTCACAGCGTCAAACTTAACTCTCTGTTGAAAAGCAACTACAACAACAGGCCTCTATGGACTGGGCACACATAGATTGTTACTTTTTAAATACTTTTAAAAAGCCAGTTAAATGCTATAATGAATGGCATTTCACTGCCTCCGTGGCTGAACGGTTACCATGCCAAGGTCCCGCCCACAGAGTGACCCACAGCTGTGTAGCCCAGTGCATATGACTACTTCCTCTTCTTATCGTATTGATGGCATACACTGGCCCTTTCTTATATAATAAATTAAATAATATATCCCCTTTTTGTGAACACTCTAAATACGAATGCAAACTAAAATTGACCAGATATCTCCTGCTCCTTAACTATGATGAGACTGAAAATCTACTAAAAGTCGTCAAATAACCTCACACTTCCACACTCACAAACACACACGCACACACACACACACTCACTCACGCACTCAGACACACTCACTCACTCACTCACTCACGCGCTCACACACATAATTTGTTTTACTTATTTTTTACTTCCTCCTCAGTACTTTGTATTTCGTCATTACTACTAACATGACTATCCTAGGGGTTGGGTGCCTGGAGACCCATATTACAAGCTCTGCTTAGTTTGGGCTCCAGTCTCCCACAATACATTACTCTAAGCTTACGTAATAATGTATATTTACTGTAATTGTAACGTTTCTTTGTATTGTGTTACAAGTAGCCGCCGTTAAATCCTCAAGCGTGCAGGTGTTAGGGCACACTGGGTACGATGTGAGGTGGGCCATCGTTTGACTACTGCAGTTAGAAAACAATTATAGGTTACCATAATATTTCTTTATGAAATTTGATGCCTGTGATGAAGTCTTTGCGGAAATCTCTCTCTAAAACATCCAAGTTTTCGCCCGAGCGCTGCAAATACTTCTGCCTGAGACTGCCGAAGTACGCTTCGAGGGTCCTGCAATATGGTCAATATAAAGATTATCTAATAAAGCCCATTTAATTTAATTTTATTTTATTCAGTATTTATTCATTAAAATTACATTACATGTGCCCTGCATGGGCGTGGCTAATACTTAAAAATTTACTTAGACAAGCAAATTATTAAACTTAAAAATTAATAATAAAAAATAAATTAAATAACAAAAGTATTAAATTCTTATAAATAATACAATATCTGAAAAAAGTAACGCGGTATCAATTAAATAATGAATCTATATACTAATTATTGTAATTGTAGAGTTCAATATAGAGTGATCCAGGGATCTTTGTCTTGAATAAAATCTTGTATTGCGTAATAAATAACACTTTTGTATGAGAAGGTTTTTCAATTTGTTACAAAACATTTTCTGAAATAATACATTGTTTAGGACCATGTTATATAAGGCTATTGGTCTGTAATAAGGGCTATTTTTAAAAATTTTAAGTTTAGGCGATGGAGGTACCAGCTTATACTGTCTACGTTCACTTCTGACATGTTCAATGAAGTTTATATTTTTTCTAACAAATGTCGCTATTTCGGCTACCACGTCGTAGGTTTAAGATTGTCCTGAGGCATTTTTTCTGTTTATGTATACCTTTTTCATGAGTGTGTCCCCACATGATAATTTTATCTTTAACGATGCTTGGGGCAGGTTTAGGATAAGTTTGTGTCATGATAAAAAGATAAATAAAAAATTACCAACTTCTGCCGCCAAGTTGTAATGTGAATACTCCGTACTCGGGCTTTGAAAGGTATGCAGGCGGACATATGAGCACATAGAATTTGTCTATTTATGTTTATGGTGACGGGCGCAGTGGTAGTGCCTATCATACCTTCGCGATTTAAAGATCTGAGTGACATAAGTTGACAAATCTCATGTTATTTCATCAGCACACTTTCCTTGACCGAAACGCAGTAATGCTCACATTACTGCTTGGCGGTAGATATAGACAAGGTGGCAGCACTTCCCTGGACGAACCTTTAACAAGGAACTCTACTGCTACGAAAAATGTCTACGAGCCGTGAGGAGTGGATGAGGCTACACCGATAACAGCCTGGCTCTTAAATAGGAGGAAAAATACATTTGAATCTGTTCAAACCTGAATTTGTATCCCACGAAGACTAGCGAGGTAGCAACCAAGCAGTCCACAGCTGTCATCAATTGTATCAGTAGCCACCAGTGAATTTCGACCAATGTTCTCAAGATATTAATGACAATCCCTGTGTCTTGTGGAGAAGGATATAGCACTACTTCTGTGCGAATGGGGATACCTGAAATATTAAGCCTAGATACATGCCGTTTCACTAAACATCTGATAGTGCATGACAATGAAATAAGAAGTGTCCGTAACCATAATCGCGTTGTGTCGCTTTAAAGATGTATAATAAATGGGGTATTCATACAAATTAACTTTAGTACATATTTCAATCTGTAGATGGCTACACTTGGATAAAATAAAAAATACAATTGAATCGCGAAAAATTGAGATATGTCATGTTAAAATATTTAAATAACATTTTAGGAATGTTTTAACCCCCCAAATAAGCCGGTTTCTGAAAGGGTTTTAGTGCCATAGACCACATGTATACGCTGCTGCAGGTCATACAGAAGACCGAGGAGTATAACCGGCCACTTTGCTTAGCGTTTGTGGACTATGAGAAGGCCTTTGATTCGATCGAGACCTGGGCGGTGCTGCAGTCTCTACAAAGCTGCCAAGTAGACTATAGGTATATCGAGACACTTATACAAAAACGCCACATCCAACTGCAACGAGGCGTGAGACAGGAAGATGTGATATCTATCAAACTGTTCATTGCTGCGTTGGAGGATATTTTTAAGCTTCTGGACTGGAAAGGACTTGGCATCAACATCAATGGCGAGTATTTAACACATCTTCGATTTGCCAATGATCTAGTTCTTATGGCTGAGACCTTGGGAGAAATAAATATAATGCTCGAAAATCTCAGCAGTGTTTCCCAAAGAGTGGGTCTTAAGATGAACATGGACAAGACGAAGATCATGTCGAATATCCATGTTGTACCCGCTCCATAAAATTGGGAGCATTACGCTCGAAGCTGTTGACCATTACGTATACTTGGGGTAGACAGTCCAGTTAGGTAAGTCCAACTTTGGGAAAGAGATCTCTCGTCGAATCCAGCTCGGATGGACAGCGTTCAGGAAACTACAAAAAATCTTTGCGTCCTAATTACCTTAGTGGTTCAAGACGAAAGTCTTTGACCAGTGTGTGTTGTCAGTGATCACACATATGTGATCCATAGATCAGATACGTGGTCCCTTACTATAAGAAGGTACAAGGTCACTCCCAACCGATGGCCGTTGGGGCGGAAAGGTTCTTCAATGCCGACCGGCACTGGACGTCGGTCAGTGGGTAGGCCCCCCACCAGGTGGACCGACGATCTGGTAAAGGAAGCCGATTGATGCGGGCAACGCAGGACCGATCGTCGTGGAGATCGTTGGGGGAGGCCTATGCCCAGCAGTGGACGTCGTACGGCTGAATGATGATGATGTTGATGATTAGGAATGTTGAATTAAAATTCGTTTACAATAAACTGTCGTTGAACAGTTGAAATGGTATACCTTTTTATTTGTTAGTTTGCAATAAATTGTATGGATGGCATTTCTTCGTTTGTTCTCGAAACTAATTAACGGTTTACCTCTGACTTTCACTTTAAAATATATAAATAAAAAAAGACATTCCCTTGCGATTTTTTAATTTGTTATTATGCGTAATCAGCGCCTGAACAAGAGCTATAATAACCTTGACAAAAATGTAATAGCTGCCATCTGTTGGCCATTTCGAATATTATTTGGTACTGTCTATAAATAAGCATCCGAATAAATGGAGGTACGAGTGCGACATTTTTTTATATGACATTGTGTATTATATCACAGTGAAAAGAAATTGGTTAGACTGTGATTATTATTATCTGTGATAAAGATAAAAGACTGTTTTTGTAAATCTGCGTAATTTTAGTTTTAGCATTCCATTCTTATAATAAAATAACAAATATAAATTCATCCGCTTCCGTGCGGCTCCCGGCGGCGGATGTAATATTCTGAGGAATTTAAATGTTGTTGCCTAGTAAATACTAGTAACTGGGCGGACCGCGCGAAATCTTTCGCTTCGTGTAACAGAGTCTCAAGCAAAGTCCGTGGGTTCGAATCCGTGCTCGCACATCGTTATGAAACCTGCACGTCGGAGAAGGTTCCCAACTCTCGAAAAAGTCCCCAACCCGCATTGGGTCAGCGTGGCGGACTAAACCCTCGCAGGGGAAGGGATTCGTGCCCGCCATTGATTGAGGCTTGGTGATAATGATTTAATAAAAATAACACTTTTGACCATTTTTATAAAACAGAAATCGAACTTACCTTCTTTTATATAAACCACGATTCCCTCTATAGTGGTCGACACCAGACCTATGGTCAACGTTACTATTAACATTATGCAATACCGCCTTGCAACCTTCACTGATTTCAAATCTATCTCCCAAACAGCGAACTCCCTGCCACCTTCCACAATTTTCTTGAGGAATATCTTAATTCGTTCTCTCGACATGTAGCACGTGATGAACTTTGCAAGCACGTGTATATGAGCAATTATGAATTGCATTGCATCATTTTTTTCCCTATCAGATACGTCACGCAAAAAAATTGATAACAGTTCGTTGAAAAAATTACCAAATATGTAAAGGTTGAATGTCACAGCGTAGATGTTATATAGTGTCTGTTGAAGTTTGGTCAAATTGCGGTCTTCGTACCAAAAATTGCCACCGCCCAGGTAGAACAATGCATTACATATTTTCTTCATATGATCTCGCTGTGGATGTCCTTTCTTTTCTGTGTCCTTCTTGGTTGTCGTTTTTTTTTCGAGTGTGTAAAGTTTTTGTTTACTTTCCATAGTTTTACTTTTGCTATGATATTAAAAACACTAGTAATAATATTTTAGTAAGTCATTCTGTATTAGAGCCTGTGCACACGACGGGTTTTATGCGCGCCGACGACGCGCGTAAATGCAATTCAAACGCGATGTAGTCGCAGATGACCTTTGTACAAAGTACCACGTACAAATTCGTAGTGCCGTAAACGCGCGTCATTTGCGCGTATACGCGCCGTAGATGCGAACATCGAACGCGCTTCTCGCGCGCGTTTGTATCGCGTTTTACGCACGTTTGACTAAATATAAACGCAACATTCTGCTTTTTGAGCTTCTACAGCGCGTGTAATACGCCATGTGCATAGGCTCTTCAGGCCACAATATATATTTACCTGACACACCTGCTAGCTGGAATACCTTTACGTGTACACGTCATATACAAGTATCTCTGCTGCGAACAAGCAAATGTGCCAGCTCCGGGTTTGTGTATTTCGGCCTTAATCTTTAATTATATGCTAAATGAAAACGTATAGAAAAGGGCTTATAAGATATAAAGAAGTCATGATATGTAGTTGGATGTGGAGTTTGGTCTGGGTATAGTATTAATATGTGTATTCAATTATTTTTGTTTATGATAGAATAAGTGCGCATTTGGAATAAGAGACACTAACCTCTTGAGAACCGGATGTAGTCCGTAATAACGGCCTGTGACGACATTGTCCACTGGGTGATCTGGGCTCAGGACCTGAACTTATAAGTTCCTTGTACTTGGACAGGTTATAGTGTCTTTCTGTTTTTTTTTTTGTACTTAAGGGGTCGCTAGGGAGGGTCACAATAAATAAAACTTATGAAGAAATATACGGGAATGTCCATGTCATTATGTTATGCCCACTATTTAACGTTAGTTCGTTTTTAACATTGCGTACTGTAGTATAATATCAGCGACTCTGTGGTTTCTACGCCATTTTGCTTGTGCTACAGAACAGACCTTTAATCTCACACCAGTATCTACGATGTGGTACTAAAATTTACGTATAATGTTCTTTATATTATTTATTAATGAGCTGAGATAAATAACCAATTAGTTTTATGTATTAAGCCGCTGCAGAGGGTGTAAAAATGGTTTACATTCACAACCACATTAAATTTAAAAGACGGCAGGGCTTACCTGGAACAAACTCGCCGAAAACCGAGGACAGTGGAAATCATGCTAAGAGGCAAATATTCAACAGTGGAATCAACAATATGCTGAGAAATAGAAGAAGACGAAGATTTTATGCTACATATGTGAGTATTTCTGCCGTTACAAGTGCCATTCAAGGTTTTTTTAGTGAATTTAGAGTAGGTTTTTTAATTATAATAATGACAAAAATACTTAAATTGGAAAAAATAGTAACAAGAAAGTATTTTATTTCGGTGTAATTAATTACAGAAAAAGTAGAAATTCGAAATGAAACATAAATATATGTTTATCACTAGTATCAGGTTTCTTACCACGGTATGACTTCTTTTTATTTTCCCGATATTTCCCGATATTAAGTCATACCGTGGTAAGAAACCTGATACTAGTGATAATCATTTAGCGAATAACCACGAAAGTCTTAAAATCTATATAAATATATGTGTTATTAGTTGTTATTTTTAATTTAGTTCTTAAAAATGTTAGAATTTTATAATTACTGCAGCCATGTAAAATAACAATTTCTAATTACCGTTGGGATAAAATATTTGTGTATCAATAACTCGAAAACTAATTTGTCCATTCAAATGCCATTTAGACATTTTAATAACTTAGATTAAAGTTGTTCATATTTCAATGTTATTGGGTATAATAAGCGAGAAAAAAAAATTACTACGGTAATTAGACTACCAACACCATATTGTGGTATGGCCGATAGTCCTGTAAAGCTTAGGTTGTTCAAAATTTATGAATAATTGGGTAATCTTTAGGAAGTTTGGAAGTATTTTTGATTGGACTGTAATCAAAGGCTGTATAAAATTATAATTTAAAAGATTTGAGGACGAAAATCAGCGGTCGTAGAGACCTTGGTCTGTGGGCGTTGTGCGAATAATGCTGGCTGCGTTCCCATTTGATAGCGATGCATTGTGCGAAATACGAGTCAGGGGGTCTATTCGTCCTCTGTCCGATATCTTTTTAAATTCAAATTCAAATCATTTATTGCATAGTCACATGGGAATAAGATGTTAATAATAAAATCACAGTACCTGTGACACCCTGGAAGGGTGTTTGCAAAAAGAGTGGCGCTGTACACATTTTATTACACACAATTAATTAATACCACACTTACATAGTAGTGTCTAGTAGGACTATGTAACTTACACATTACACACAATTACTATATTATTAAATTGAAGTAATTATGTTTAAACTCGTAGCTCTATACTAATGGATTTCTAGTGAAATTACAGGCACATGGGACTTGTCAACTTACGTCTCAGGGTGACGTGCGCAGAGGCAGTGCCCCTCAGATTTTTGCAATTTAAAGCTCTGAGTGGCACTGTAATTGTCATGAACAGGCGTGTAGCTTCCCATCAGGCGCTTGTTCGTCCCGTCACTTGACGTTATAAAAAAAAATATATAGATTTTTACCTACATACATCTATAATACAGTATTATTACTTATTAAATATCAATTTAAAAAAGGTCATCAAAAATATCATTGAAGTATTCTGTTATACTGCAATAACTCTTATCAAAAAAGTTTTACGTTGTATTTTAAAAGCTTTGGAATCCTGAGTACATTTTATGCTGTTCGGGAGACGGTTATATATTTTTATTAACATTGGGTGGGGACCATTTTTGAAAAAGGTAATTTTAATTTGTTCACGATTACGATTATTGCGTTTTGTTGTTTTTAGCGGCGAATGCAGGTCAGAGTGCTTTTTAATAAATTTACAAGCTTCTAATATGTATATGCAACTTATCGTTGGTATGTTAAATTTGCGAAAACAGTTTTTACGGGATGTTATTTGGTCTATGTTTGCTAATATTTTTATGCACTTCTTTCGGAGAACAAAAACTTCCGTCTGTGCAGTTTCCTCAAAGAATGATCCCGTAGGAGAGTCTAGAGTGCGCGTAGTAAGCTGCAAGTGTAGTTTTTTCATTCGTGACTCGTTTTAATTTACTAATGGCATACATAAAAGATGATAATCCATTTGACAGTTTTAAAATATGTGGTTTCCAAGTAATGTGCTTATCGATCTCTATACCCAGCATGGTGGCCGAGTCTACAGTTTAAATTTTTGTTAAATTGTAAGAGTAATTTATGTCTAGTGGTGCTTTTTGGTAAGGTTTAAATTGGAGTAATTTAAAAAACAAATCTTTTTAAGGTTTAATTGCAACACATTTATGTCCAGCCATTTTGTGGTATTATCCAATACGAGGTTTTGGTCTCTTTATAACGCGTGGGTGTCTTTACAAGTCAATATTATACGGAAATATCATCAGCAAAGGAGACACAGAAATAACCCACATGTGGTGGAAGGTCATTTATATAGACTAGAAAGAGAATACAGCCCAACACACTTCCTTGTGGTAGAGTCTAACACTGAAGCTCGCTCAGATCTTATACGAGCAATTTTCCCAGTACTATAATCTGTGTTTTTTATTTCCACATATTGCGAACGATTTTCCAGGTATGTAAATAACCAGCGGTGAGCTATTCCTCTTATTCCCATTACGTATAGCTTTTGTAGCAAAATCTTGTGATTTACCCTATCACATGTCTTGCTCATGTCAAGCAATAAGCCGACTGTATATTCTTTATTATTAATTGAATGTAGTATATTCTGTATATATTTATATATTGCCAACGAGGTAGATCGGTTCTTTCGGAATCCGTGCTGACTATCATGTAGGATTTTAAATTTCTCAAAAAAGGAACAAAGTCGGTTTGACATGGCAGTTTCAATAATTTTAGCAAAGGTAGGTAATAAGGCTATGGGGCGATAATTTGTTGGGTATGTCTTGTCGCTCGTTTTATAGAGAGGCCTCACTATGGATACTTTCGTGGCTTCCGGGAAACAACCTTTCCGGAAAGATTGGTTTGTTAAATGTGTAATGGTAAAGTCAGCGCGCTTGCACATTTTTTCACCGGACATGAGGAGATTTCATCGATGCCGTAACTATTTTTAGTCTAGGTTTTTATTACTTTAAAAGATTATTTTCAAATTTCATTAAAAAACAATGTCAAGTATTGTGACGTTTCCGCTACATAGTACAGGGATAGCTCAACATAATTTTGCAGTGTAAGTTTGCAATTTCAATACAGGCAATACCAACTATATAACAACGAGAATATTTATTTTTGTAAGCATTAGCAGTTGTATTTTTGGCTAGTTTAGCAGCCGACGGTATCAGTTTGTTTATATCATTTCTCGAGCTAATAGAATACGACACGGGTGTAGTACACCATGATATGCGGATAATATGTTATTTAATGGACTTAAATCAATTCAACTCATGCATGGCACATACTTCCAATAAGCAGATATTACGTTTATATGCCTTAGTGAAATGGATACCAATGATTTGAAATCGTGATACCTGTCTCCACTTCTTTTTTTTCTTTTAACAAAATTGAGACGGAGCTGATAACCTCGACGATAATGTGAAATATTATTAATTCTACTCGCGTTCTTCATCCTCGTCGCCATTTGTG